TGGCATGATCTCAAACCATCCAGTTTGTGTTGGCGAAAGATGAGATAACAAAAAATATTGTACACTCTGTTGCATTAAGGGATAGATATTGTTTTTTACTAATATTGTCATAATTAGCGATGTATATAATTTTAATGGATCAATTTTAATAAATTATTAAAGAAATAAATGTTTGATGTTTTTTCATTTTTATATTTCGTCACCGTTCATAGCACTCCATACCTCTTCCTTGCATCCTTATCCTTACCCACATCCTTACATGCCTATATTAAATTAGTTATTTTTTTCTAGCAAAATATTCTCTAGAAATAATTTATGTGACGAAACAACGTTTGTCGGGTCAGCTTGTTATATATAATTATGACATTATGTATATTCATTATTATTAATTTAAGTGTGCCGTGGAAATTTTCAAAATGTTCAAATGTGCCGTTAAGTAAAAGAGGTTGGGAATCCCTGTTCTAGAGCCTCTAGTAATGCCTTTTTTTTGACTAATGGATGTAGGTTGAACTTTGATTTGACCTCTTCTTTTGTTGATGTTGGGTGATTTAATATTCAATGAATACATAAAACTAGAAAATTGAGAAGAATTTGAAATATTTTTTAATCTGTAACCTAATTTGTTCAGTATCGATTCTGGTAGTGTAGGAATCATATTTTGCACTCTTGATCATTCTGATTGGATAACTGAAATATTGAAATTTATAGTATCATCAGTATGTATAATTGATGTATAAGTGTCTACATTCTGAGGTACCTACACTTGATATTTCATTTGAAGTTGTTGTTTCATTAGTTATACATTCGTTATTTTCACAGTACCTATTCTGAATTATTTACTGTTTGGTTTAACGTTTCATTGATAATTTCTGAACTGCTAGGTAAACTTTCCTTTAAATCCAAAAAAAAAGTTGGTTTAGGGCATTTGTTAATTCCTAAAGCTAACCCAGCAAGTTCATGTCGTTCTTCCAATGTGATAGCAGGGGAATTGTGCTTTGATGTGTTTATGGATACAAGCTTGGTGTTTGCAAAATGATTCTGCATGTCCCATTTTGCAAGTACAAGCACCATTTTCAGTATCAATAAAATATGTTACATTTTTAGTAGTCATACTTGGGATGGCATAAGTTGATTCATTAATTTGTTTTACGTCAGATATGTAAATATCAATCATTTTGGAACATAACTTATCATACAACCTTTTAGTTTGTAAATGTTTACCACGAGTATGATATAATATTCTCAAAGTGAAATACTCTTCATCTACTGATACAATAAAATCAACTAATGCCACAACATTGTATGCTTTTGTTCTATTCAGTAAAATATCTTTCATAAGAATTTAAAATTTAGTTATAATGTGTAGGTACTAGTCATAATTATAGCTATAATATGGATAAAAACCAGTTAAACTCTAAAAGTCATGGGAAAAATCATTAAATATATTCTGTCTAACATTTAATATTTTTAATTGTTAATTAATACCTGTATAAATCAAATTAAGTTTAAAAAAATGTTACTTGTTATTGATTAATCAGTAGTACTTAATAAGGTTTTGTATTTTTTTTTTATTATGTGTGTAATAACAAATACATATTACTTAGGTATACTTTTTATGAAAATATTATAGTTACTAATTACTATAAGCTAGGTACCTATTAATTAGCAATATTAATATACCAACTATATATAATACATAAAACAAATAATAAAACTTTTTTAAAAAATATACTAATTTGATAATTAAAATGTTGAAACATTGAATAACAACATAATCTAATAACTTAACTTATAAGTTGATTTTATTGTAGGCAAAGAGTATTTCACTTTGAGAATATTGAATCATGCTCATGGCAGATATTCACAAGCTAAAAGATCGTATGATAAATTGTGTACCAAAATGATTGATTTCAATATTTCTGACTTATAACAAATTAATGAAACAACTCAAGTAGGTATATATTATTATATTATAAATTAGATATTAATTAATTACATTAAGAATTTGGTTATAATTAGTGGCGTAGTTGCGGGGAGGGCGTAAGGGGTTTACACCCCCCGACGGATTTTTTTTTTTTAATGATATTTTATTATTTATTAATATTTACATATTACAGTAAAATATTTTGATTTTACTATGATTAGGTGTATATTAAAAATTGAGTAACAAAATAATTTTCATTAATACTAGATATAATAATAATACCATTTTAAATGTAATATTATTATATATGACCTCGTTTTAAGATATACTAAGAACACTTAAAAACTTACTCTTAAAAAACCCACTAGAAAAAAATTGTATCAACGCCACTGATTATAATATATAGGTACATGGTTGTGATATAATTATATTCATTTAAAATGACATTATGGTAGTGAGTGTGCAACATATCAAACTGGCAAAATTATATTTCTTTAAGTTACAAAACCACTATTTACCAACGTTTTTCTAACAATTTTTTTTTTAAGAAATTGGTGCCTGTTTATTTTTTTTTACGAGTTAATATTATACAAGCGTTATCAATTGTACCTATTTTATAAAAGAAAAATATATTTGCGCGATTTTTTCAAATAAACCAATGAAAACAGCGTATTTGTATACGGCGCTGAAACTCTAGCCGGTTTGGTAACACGCCACCGAGACACTTGGTTAAAAACCAGTAGTGTCCCGGAAAATCGGGGCGCATGGCAACCCTACTTGAAGCCCTTTAGTTTTTACAGTTGAACGTTTTAGTGATAATAGTACATAAAATAGATATTTATTAAGGTCATATTTTAATCATAATTTGTAATCTTTGGTTAAAAACAAACTTATAATTACACACATATATCAAAAATTAATTTGTTTACTATATATAGTATAATACTCTAATATTTTACATAGTATATAATATTCATACATATATATTATATAACTAGGAAACAGATTTATATGTAATAAAAATAAAAAAATATGTACATATATAGGTAAGTATAATTTATAAAATACGTGCTAAAAACAACCAAATATGTGACAAAAAAATTAAATTAAAATAAAAAATTATACCTAATTATTAAATTATCAAAATGATTAGTTGCATTGAATTATTGCAATTTCATTATTATTGAATGTTAAATGTCGCCTAATAAATCTCAAAATATTTTTAAAACGGCTAAATGATTGTTCCACATAAACTAATATAATTGAAGCATATTTGAAGCGCATATCAGAAAGCGATAATTCCAAATTTTTAGTATGGTGTCTGCCACTCATTTTGTCATTGATTGTTTTAAAATCAATATAACCTGAATTTTATTCTAGAATAGCGTGAATTTTCTTTTTACATTTCCAATTGGTCTGCTTACGATTTTTAAATTTTTAATCACTGTTTTGACAATTTGCATACTATCATTTAAGGACATATTTTTTGTTTCTAATTTTGTAATTGTATGTGCAATAAAACTAAAATTCACCGAGATGAAAATAAAATGATTTTTCAATGTTTTATTTTGCGTAATATTTTGAGCTTTTCCAATAGCCATAGAAGTTTCTGGATCTAATTTTAAAATAATTTTTTGTATTTTCATACAAAGAAAACGTATGAATGATGAAATCATAAAATATGTTTAAAAATATTTACAAATTAGTGAAATATGTAAAAATATGTAATAATACCAAAAAATGTAAAAATGTTAGATAAAAGCATCATTATTTTAATAGGAATGATTTAAACCATAAACATTTCTTATAGAATCTTAAATATCATGTTTTAATAATAATATGCATTTACATATAAATCCGCTCCCTATATATGACTACACATTCACTAAATTAAGTAATAAGTAAAACACACTTCCAACTTAAATACTTAACAAATATGGAAATATTATAAAATCTTAACTCATGCAAAATAATTTCATTATTTATTAAAAATTATAAATGACGATGAGGTTATATAAGTATTGAAATAAATAGAATTACTCATATGGCAACCAATATATTCTACAACTGTCTATCCAATAAATAATACAGTATATTAATAGGAAACAAATTTGTGACTTTTATATTAAAATAATATAGGTACAAAAATTAGCAAACAACAGAGCAACATTTTTAATTCATAAAAAAAAATGTTAAAATGATTCTGTACTATTCTATTTTTTTAATTTATTTTTAAATAGAAATTATTATGCCAAGCACTCATACTACTATCCATATTATATTTACATTCTATTGAAATAACCATATGAAAATTTAAAATGTATTAAAAATAATAAAACTGAACAAAATAAACAACATAATAAATATTGTCATATGCAATATCTTCCAGATTCTAATATAATATAAAATAATATATTACAACAAAAGAGATTCAAAATTGTTAATTATTATTTACTAACTATGGAATTCATGCTAAATACTAATTTAAAAGACAGTATATATATATAAAAAAAAAAAAAAACAGTTAAATATCATTACAATCTGCAATTAATGAAGAATCTAATATAAATCAAAATTAATTAATTCGGCAAGTAACTTTTGCTAAATTATTAAAATATAATTAATTATACATCAAATATGAACAATTTTGACTATAATACCACACGTTATATTTACAATTAAAAAGTTTTTTACACATAAAGGTTGGATATTTATGATAAGTGTAAAAATTTAAAATATAAAGAGAAAAGAATTTTAATAAATTGTTAATTGTAGAACTCAAGAACAAAAATAACTAAAGTAAATTTAAAGAGTTTAAAAATATTTTCTCTATCTATTCAAGATTATTCTATAAAACTAAATATCAAAAATCTTCTTTGATAACTATCATATTGCAGTATCAATTAAATTTACAACTTATAGAAGGGTTAATTTTTTTTTAACAAATATTAAGATAACTTTAAAAGTTTTAACAAAGACATATTGTATATAAAAAGCATATAAATCCGACTTCTATTAATATTTATAATAATTATTTAATAGTTGGATATTCTTATTTAAGTATATTAAATAAATGTACATTTCATGACCATTTTTTATTACATCAAACCACATATAAGAACATGCTAAAATTACAACACAAAATTTAATTTGACAAAAAATAACAAATAGTAGTTTGTTAATATATTCATAAAATTTGGCAATAGTAAATTTCATTCTTTCCAATGTACATAGTTACCTCAGCCAAATATATATAACAAATATAATATTAAAAAAAATATCAACGAACATACTTCAATATTTGGGTATTGATTATGAATCGTTGACTTGAGATTAACAATGATTCAGACTACAATTAACTTTATTATATTATTATTTTGTTTTCGTTTTAGATGGATATATAAAACTAGTCATAGTTGATGGGTATTTAAATTGATGTTGGTACAAGCCACTTGAATTGTTGCTACCATTTTTACTACTCGAACTAGACATTTTATTAGATGTACCCGGTTTTGCGATTGACATTGTCGTAGTTATATAGAATAAGTAAACACGTAAATGATCACATATTTCTTTGCAAACAAATATTGAATAAACTGTTAGATCAATTATGGTCCACGCCTATAAATATAAACATAATTTAATATAAAATATAACAAATCAATTTGTTTTTTAAATTATTACCAAGCAAACACACAGTACATAGTATTCTGGTAAAACAGAATTAAAATATTGATTTAAAAATAACATAGCTGGACCAATAAGCGTGGAATCAACATATTCAATTGGACTTTTAGTCATATGGGCAATCTAGTAACAAAATAAAGAATACATAATAACATTTTAAAATAAATTCAAACAATTAATTTCTACACTGAAAATTATTTTTATTATAATATACCACAAGTTTATTTGTTATTTTAGCAGTAACTACACCAAATGCCATTATGTATAGTACAGGGTGAGTCTCATAGATGTTTTCAGTACTTTTGCAGCTAATTATATATGCAGGTAGGACTACTAAGATCAGAGGAATAGCGGGAGATAAAACACTGGTTCCCTAGAAAATATAAGTAATAAGTATTTATTTTATAATAAATTATCAAAAATCTTACGGCCACTGAAGAACCATTTTTGCCAACACCACCAGTTAGAATAACAGTTAAATTTGATTTGGCTAAATATAACGAAATAGATAATGTCATAAGTAATAATATAAACTTGAGCTTGATATTAAAAGGAGGAATCTATAAATAAAAAGTATGATTATGTTTTTAACATGAAAAATTATAATAATATCTAAAATCAATATACACAATAGTATTTGTTACTTACTACAATATCCCATATACTTGTACCAAACACAGCAGACATTATATGGACAAATATAATAGATATTTGTGTTTCTGTAACATCAAATCTACCAAAGCGTAATGTACCTAAAATTATAGCAAAAATATAATCATTAGTAATACATAATTTATTTTTATTGCTATTAATTTTACATACCAGAAACATATGTCTGCCAATGTGCAAGATAAAATAAAGCAACAGCAAAAAAACTTTGCAAAAACATCCATGAAGGATATTCCCCTAACTTTACAGAAACACAGGTTGATAATGTAATGAATACTAGAAAATAATAATTAAGTAATAATACTCAAAATGTTAATTCATACATTTAAAACAAATTATATGTTAAATATCTTACCAGTAGAAATAGAATCACAACCATGATCAAATAATTCACCTAAAGGAGAAGAAGAACCAGTTCTACGTGCTTGTTTTCCATCAATAGCGTCTAAACTTTGATAAATAAATAAACCAAGACCACACAAAAAACTTGCCCACCTAGGAATCTGAAAAAATTCAAAATTAATAACACTACTTAGAGACTTATCAAATCTACATATAATACTGATATATATATATATCACTTTCCTAATTTCTGCTATTTAAAATACACTCAAAAAATACAAAAATAATTTTGATAATTATAAAATTACATTTCAAATTCTGTGTTAATAAATGATTAAAATTAATATGAGTATATTTTAAAAACAGAATATTTAAAAAATACTTTTTTCAAATTTAGGATTTAAATAGAAAAATAAATATAGATATTAGATAGGTACTAAATTTAACTAAATCTATAAAAAATGTATCAAAATATGCATATTGCTATAAATACCCAACAAATAATACAGTTTATGTATAAAATTTATTTGATTAACAATATATTTTCACAAAGCCATTATAGTATTCGGTGAAAGTCAACGCAACTGCTTGTAATACCCGTATCAGGTAGTATCGGATACCTATATAATATTATAGCTATTATTTCTAGACATTTTATCATTTTTTATTTTCAAGGGAATTTCGAAATCAATGCTATCATAAATACAAATTATAATTTTGATTATTATATTTAGTATGCATAAAAAAACAAAAATTATACAGCACACCTGAATAATTTTGTGGCACACTTGTGTGTATCCGTATCAGGGCTGAGCAAGTTACTCAAAAAATTGTAACCAGATACAAATTACTCTAAAATAACATATCTAAATACAAGTTACGGATTACTTTAAAAATATATTACACATATAAATGCAAATTATTTATCTGGGTTACATAAAATATACAAGTTATATTAAAAATTCTAAAAAAAAATCTTATTTTTATTAAAAATTATCTTCCTTAATACAAGATATAAGTTACAAATATAACTCAGATACATAACTCAAATGACTGTCTAGTCCTGGACTGTACTGTAAATCTTATTATAGTCGATTTATAGAGCTTTGAACCCAAGGAACAGTTTTGAATAACCCATCCTCTTAGCCCTTAAATTGAACCCACAATTTAAAAGGTTATATCCCAAACATTTTAAACCAAAAATGTAAACTAAAAATATCAATATTTTTTAGTGAAATCCCGAAACAAGTAAATATGTTATTTATTATATGCTTATATTTGGAAATAAAAATAAAAATTTAAATTTTAACAAATCAATTTGAATGAGTTTTTGTTTGTCAATCCTATTCGTGATTTTTTACTCAGATCTCATTATTTTCATTTTAAATTCTAAATAAGCAAAGCATATATAAATAAAATTGTTTTAGTTTTTAAATTTTTGCATCTACTAATTATATTATTTATTCTGAACACATTTTTAATTAAATTTCAAGTACCTATTTTAAATTTTAATCCATATTTACATATGAAAAATTTGAATAAAACATTAATAAATTATTAAGTTTTAATACATTTATGATTATAATAAAAATATTTTATAAATTGTTCATTTTAATAAAATATGTTAATCCAGTATTGAAATTAATAAACTAATCACATTACTTTTAATAATATATATTGTTAATCCATAAGTAAAAGGTTTTTTTGTCATTTACTTAATTAAAAAGTTACACAAATGGTTTTCATTTTTATTTTAATAAATAATTTTTTCATGTTTTTAAAATAATTATTACTGAAATCATTAGTTTACATAAATTAAAAATTTAATAATAGCCACTAAATTTGAAATTTTACACTTTAATATTAAACTACTTTTAATTTAGTACAAATGAGCATTTTTGTAAGCTATTTTGAAAAAATTGAGTAATTTTTTTCAACCTTTGTTTTATAGTTACATAATATTAAAATATTTTTTATTTAATAACACATAATAAAAAATAATGATATAAAAAATTATACATAATAAGGTATTTTTATTGTGAGCGGTCTACCGCCTATTTTTACTTGTCATAGTTAGTTAGTTTTTTAATAAAAATGTTTGTTGTTTGGCTAACATAATGCTTTAAGTGTTTTAATCGTAGAATAATGTATGACGTATAACAGCATGAGCTCAACTGTAACTGATTTTATCATACGTTTAAGATTACAGTAACTATTATTGCTAGACTTTATTATTGAAGTTAAATTGTTAAGATAATACTTAATCGCCATCAAATTAATAAGAATTACCTATAATATATATAGATACGCAGCAGATGACAGGTTTGCGATAGACATTATATATAATGTTTAAAAACATGTATTGTAGATGACAAGTGTATGGTAAACCTCATACAATAAGAATACCCATAATAAATGTATGTATTAATATTTTGTTTTAATTAGATATAATTTAATCAGAATCCTTAAATACATATATTCTGAACGATAAAACTTATATTTTATTATATATCATTATCAATTTCGGTACATTGTGTACAAAATTTTTTTTTAATTTTGTCTCATTTAATAAACCTCTACACTGGAATAATCCCATTAAACAGTGATTGAGGAACATTGTATAAGTGTTAATTTACGTATAGTTATTTATTTATAACTCCAAAGTTCTATAAATACATAATTCTCAACAAAAAAAACTAACTCTTAACATTCAGTATAATATAGAATAATAACATGATTATTTATTTTATAACAGTGATCATACAAATTATCCAGTAATTATGTATTATTCGCAATTTAATAGTCTATCAATTTTTAATTTTGTTTCTGATTTAATTTCTCTATATTTCTACCTGTATGATAATTAAATTATAATCTACAATAAAAGGTAAAAATATGCACTTACTTCTGAATTAGCATCTGGACTGTAGTGTATAATAAGTAGCGTAGTGATTATATTTACTAAAAGTCCAATAAGTGTAATTAAATTTGGTGCAAGCCAAATGGGTGTTTGTAGTACTAGCCAATTCCAAAAGGGTTGCAAATACGAATCTAAAACACTACGACTTTCACACTTATATGAATGCTCGCTAAGTTTCTTGAGTTGAACAGGCAACAGAATTTTATTTTTTGTAAAACAAAACAACATGGTGAAGATGTTTTAATACAGACACTGCATCAATGGCTAACAACGAATCACTATACTTGTAGATTTCTGAGTTGCTACTGCATCATAACACATCTAAAAAAAAATATTGACCACAGTAACGTAAAGATAGTCTCGATCAAATTAGAAAACCATTATTAGTATAAAACATTATCCTACCTAAATGTGTGTAGTTAAAACATAAATTTCGAGCGGTTAACAACGAGCCATTTTTTTTTCTCTGTTATTAAGCAATGTTATTCAAGACGGAATCAATGAAATGTTAAGCTAATAATTCAAACAGGAAGTAACAATAAACACTATTCTAGATTAAAATTAAATAGCATACACATAAATGTATGTATGTGCGTGCGCGTGTGAATAAAATGTTAAACGCCGTTGTGAAATAATTAGAAAATAACGCACTGGCATGCACGGAAACGGTGTTATCGACGGTGGCTGCTCGCCGGATATCAATCGAACCATTTGTTCCGTCGGTGATAAGAAATAATCATGCCACTCGCCAGCGCGTCGTCGTCCACATCACGCAGTATGTGTTACACGGAGGTTAACCGTTAAAATCAAACGCACACCGTTCACTGTTGTACCGGAGCGGGAAGGGGGAAATTTACAACGAGACCACGGACGGATAGAACGGCGATGGAAAATATAATCACACGGAATATTTTAATCGTAATTATTGTTAATTAAATACGTATTATTATTATTATTATTGCCGTGTTGTTGGACGCGTACGTCGCGAGTACGCGCAAACGTTTCCGAACAGTGCAACCGAGGTCGACCGCTCGGGTGATTAGTGTGATAAGGGTAATGGGAAACCGCGGGATCCGTGATAACGGCACCGAAGGATGTTGCTCGGACGGATGACGTACATCGGACGCGTTACGATAATAGTAATACAATGCTAATGAGCGAAAAACGACCGGTGGGGAAGCGAACGGAAAAAACGACCGCGTTTCTGCTGATTTACTGAAGTCGTGCGCAACGGTAAGGTGGACGGACGGTCGCGGGAAAAATGCCCAACAATATTCGTTGCATAACCCAAGGTGGAAAATTCCACCTTGACGCCTCCGAGTAACGCACGCAAAACGTGATTATTTTACATTTTTATCGTTATGATTGATTATCGAAACACCGCCTATACGTACGCAGGAACGTAAATACCTACACTTCGTGTTCACCACGTATTGCGCTCTGAATTGATGAGCTTTTTTTCCTTTTTTCTTTTTGAGTTCTATATGACATGCGACTGCCAACAAACGCGGTGCACAACAACACGGCAACCGACGAATCACCTTCACCGGACCGCTATACCGTTACATATTTACTACGCTGCGGTACCCGAGCGTTTCTTGTTCGATACGCTGGCACTTTCGGGCGCGGTCTTATTGTATTAACGTTATGGTATAAGTGCCTCGACGGTTTATTAAACGATGGTTCGAAATCGTTTCATCGTAATCCTCTAGGGTAGTTCTAGTTGTCCAGAAGTACACGCGCACGTCTTGGTAGTTAACGAAATCTATTTATCGTGTACATCACTCGACACTATTGTTCTACGTCTTACCGATTAGAAATTATGATCGTTCTCTGTGGATATTGATAAAAACAAAAGCCATTTGACCAACGCAATTCACACAAAGCCTTTTTTAATGAATATTTTTGTCGATTTTTATTTCAATAAACAATATAATACAAAGCTATTTGAAAATTATTGATGGCTTGTAAAGAACAAATCATAAACACGTAATTTTTGAATAAGGCTTACCT